GGTTGAACTGGATCATTGAAGGTCAGAAGCAAAGACATTGGTTAATAGAATGGGATTAAATACATAAAGGATATTTGTGTTGTTTAACATTTAATTATTGCAGGTTTGCGTCATATTCTGAGTTGCATTATTTTTATTCATTTTGAGGAATACTGAATCAGTTTTTTTATTTTGTGAGTAAGATTAATTAATGCATATTCATATTTATTTTAGAACTAAAGTAACATCTTCTGATTTCTCTCAACATGGGGACAGGAGAGCTGTCAATTAATACATTGAAAAAAAAAAGTAACTTGCGTTACTTGTTTGAAAAAGTAACTCAGATATTCTCTTGTAAATTAAAAAGTAATGCGTTACTTTACTAGTTACTTGAAATACGTAATCATATTACTTGTTACGTAATATGATTACGTAACTCACGTTACTTGTAATGCGTTACCCCCAACACTGATCCCTAGTATATAACTGTGGCAAACGCAATCACCTTGTCCAGAGAGCACATGGCAAACACAGGCCCGTCGTGAGCTTTGATGCTCTTCATGAGCGTCGTGTCTTTCCAGATGTACACGTCACCCGTCGTCGCCCCAGAAAACACCAGGTCCTCCGAGCGTCCGTAGCAGGCGGACATCATGGTCTCATGCTTGCCGAGATTTCCGAAAATGCCTCTTTTAAATGTTAAACCTCCTCCTGTATTGAAATATAAACACTGAGCAAATGCTTTTAATTTATCCAGAGGAGAAAGCATCGGATGCATTAGTAATTCAGTTACTGGAGCATCTGCTCACATTTAAAAGCTCTTGCTCACATTTAATTGGTAAAATATGGAGCGCTGATGGAAAAGTTGACAAAACAGTCATATCAGCTTATGACGGCTCAATATGATGTGGCAGATTCTCCTCACAGTCATGTTCTCGTGAGAGAGACGGGCGAGAGCTTATGCTTCAAATATTTCAGTAAAAAGACCGTCTGCACATGTAACAAACATCCTAAGTTAAAAAGCAAGTGTTACTGCTGCGATTTAGGATGCATTCACATATGAATCTTCTGTCTCTACCTGTATGCAGCCAGAACTTGATGTGTTTCATTCCCACCGTCAGCAGTTTGTCCATGCGGAACGGGTTTCCTTTCACCACAAAGATCTTATCTTTATGTCCTCTATGGTAAAGAGAGAGACAGATGTCTTTCGTGAGCAATTCAGCTCGCTGTACACTAGTGCTGGGCGGTATACCGGTTCATACCGAATACCGGTGTTTATTTTTGTTATGATATGAATTTTTAAAATTCAGCAGTTTGTCCATGCGGAACGGGTTTCCTTTCACCACAAAGATCTTATCTTTATGTCCTCTATGGTAAAGAGAGAGACAGACGTCATTTGAGAGCGATTCAGCTCGCTCTACATACTCTTAACCATTTAAAAGGTTTGGTTTTACCTGGATTTGGCCAGTTTTTCGCCTTTTTTCCAGTCCCAGATGACTAAGGAGTGGTCTTCATCGATTCCCACAGACACTAAACTCTTGCCATCCGCTGGATTTGAGAAAGTGAAATAAGAGAATATGACACAGCAATGTTTTAAAATATGTTTAAGCGATTGTACATTGGATAAAAATAAGATTCTGGAAACATTAATGGAAATGCATTTGGTTACTTTGCTTAAAAACAAGGCAATTTTGTCAGAATACTCAATGCTTCAATCCAATTATTAAAACATGAGTAAGCTCTGAAATAAGTTTATGGGGAAAAAAATTTAACATTAATTTTAACTAAAATCTCAACTTTCTCAGCTGATTTCCTTGTAAAATGCAGTGTTATTTCAATATCATTGAGATACTGTTATAGTTTTTATTAATATTTTAAATGTTTTTATTTTTCTATTTTCATTTGTTACAATTTTATATTTATAAATATAATACAAATGTATATTTATAAATATGTCTATATAGTTTTTATTCATTTCTATTTAAGTTTTAGTTTTACTTATTTTAGAGCATCAAGTTAAACTAAATAAAAATTAGAAATGTTTCCATGACAATTAATTACAACAAAATAGTTTTTTATATTTTATCGTATTTCTATATTGCTTGAAACCAGGGAATTTTGTCAGAATATTCAATGCAATGCAATGAAAAAAGGAAGTTAATGGGAAAATGACAATTTAACAATAATTTTAACCAAATCTCAAGTTTCTCAGCTGGTTTATATGTAAAATGAATGTCAGGGTCTGACCTGTGAACTCCAGAGCACAAACCCCGCGCTGATGTTGACCCTTCAGCAGAGATAAACACTTGAGTGTCTGGGTGTCCCACACATGGATGGCCGGATCTCGACCCACCTGACATACACACAAACATATGCATACTCTGCATTTATTTTATTATCATGCCTTGCAGAGACGGCTCAAATCTGACTGTTCGGCATATCTGATAGAAATCTGTTGAGGAAAAAAATCAATTAAATGTGATCCGATCCGGTTTGAAGTATGATTCGTGGACAACAGTTTCAGCCGTGTTGTTTTGTAAATCTCTCACCTGTCCGGTGGCCACATAATCTTTGAGCGGATGCACAGTGAGGCTCAGGATATCGTCGTCATGACCGATGTAAAAGCGCTGCGTGTGCTGCTGTCTGTTATACACCACAGCCACAGCCGCCACATGATACACCACCTCACCGGCCTGAGTGTAGAACAGATTATTCCTGCAGTCGCAGCCCCTGTACCTGAGATAAACAGAATTTAAAAAAAGTCAAATATTTATACCTCTCTAAAAGTTAGCACATTACACAAATAATGAAATATGTTTAACTTTGTACATTTTTGTTAACATTTATCTAATTTGACATTTTAATGGAATCATTCTGTAAATATAGACGGTTTTCGGTATTTGCAAACAGTGATGACTTTTTTTCTGGTGGCAGAAAATGACAGTTTTAAAGTAGCAGTCTGTGGAAGCCATGGAATAAAAGGGTAAAAAAGATAATTTTGAGTTTATATTTCAAAATTCGGACCTATTTCTCGCAATTCCGAGATTATATCTCACAATTCTGATAAGAAAAATCAACTCGTCATTCTCTCTTGACAAACTGACAAACTCACAATTGTTGAGTTAAATCAATTTATAAAGACCAAACTAGGAGATATAAACTTGCATTTGTGAGAAAAAAAGTCAGAATTGTGAGATAAAATAGGAAAATGTTATAGGTTTAAATAGTTATACATTTACAATTAATGGAGTTAATGGATTCATTCTGTAAATATAAAATCATTTAAAAATCATATATATATATATGATTTTTAAATGATTATTTAATGAATAATAATAATAATAATATAATAAATAACAACAGCCATCATAAAAGTTGCTACGCAATTCAGTCATAACTACAAAGGCAGCGCTCATTTATATAAAATATAACGTCATGAGACTTCGCTCTTAGCCAAAACTATTTGCTCTGAACAAATAATAGATTAATCAGACCAAAGTCTGCCCGTGAGAATTACCCAAAACGAATTATATCTCATGTTTAACCACTATAGAGACATCAGAGCCAGTGGCTAATTCCAGAAGATCTGGCCGAGGTGAGGCTGCTCTCGGCGGGTTCATGAGCGCTGAACGCCCGCTGACGCCCTGGAGCTCACGTCTCCCAAAACATAGCAGCAAATTTTCAAATAGACGTTATCTTTATGAACAAACCGCATATTTGAAGTCTAAACAAGTACATTCTTGCCTAAAAACTCTTAAAACTACACTCCGTGACACAAAAACAGTATTATTTATTAAATTATAGTGGATTTGGGCGTCTGCCATGACACTCGCTGTGAGAAATACTGCAAGCGGAGTGATACAAACGGTTGGAGTGCTGTTATTACTAGAATATCACACTCCTCTCAGCCAATCAGAATCAAGAACCAGAAAGAACTGTTGTAAAATTCTAAATATTCAGGGTCACAGACATTGAGACACACTGTGTTCATTTCAAACGCATAATTTACCCGTGGACAAACTGCAGGCGCAGCCCCTCGTCTGGCGCTTTCTGCCTCTTCAGAGATCCAGCCAGTTTCTTCTTGAGCTGAGGAAGATCTTCCTTATACACCTGAGGGGTGTTTGGGAGAAGAGTTACAGGGCAAAATCCACTCGCAACACATTCAGAGATTCAGAAAAAGCATAAAGGGCAACAGCAACTAGCCAATCAGCCGTGAAATTAATGAGAGGAACAGGATGAGAGCAGCCGAGCACGTCTGTCACATAAAACCCTCTCAGTTTGGGAACTTGGGTCTCTTGCCTGACGCTCGTAGTTGATCTGGGCTTCCTGTTCGATGTCTGAGTCCAGCTCGGGAACGTCGGAGAGGTCAGAGTCAGATTCGCCACTGTTAGAGTCAGCGTAGCTATCTGTGAACGGGAAAACATTATCAGACTTTCTGCTTTCACTATAGTCCAAACTTTCAAATGTAAAAATAATACGTAATATTAAAACCTCTATTCTCATTTCTATTCAGTACAGGGGTTCCAAAACTTTTTTTGTCAGCCAAACTCTTTGGATAGAAAATATTCACTTAAAGTGCCTTTGAGATTTTAACTTAATATTTCAATAATTTAATAACGCATTTGCATTTTCACAGTTCTCTGATGTTGTCACAACATGCAAGTAAACAGATAAAATATTTAATCATTTTTAGTAAGTGTTTAATTTTGATTATTTTTTATTTTTAAATTATTTATATATAGGGCTGCATATAAATAGGACTTTTATTATTATTTTATATTTATATCAATTATTGTATATTAATATTAATATTTACATTAATTATATATTAATATATATTTATTGTGTTATTTATTTTATATTATTATTATTATTATTTTGTTTTAACTAATTATAAAATGCCTATATAAACATTATTTGTAATTACATATATTTATGATGTATTATATGATTTTATATTTACAGAATGAATCAATTAATTATAAATAATCCCTTAAAAAATGTACATTGTATATTATATTATGCATTCATATTATCTATATCAATTATATATTATATTACAATTTTTTTACTATAGGAGTTATAGTTTTACTATATATATATATATATATATATATATATATATATAAATAAATAAAAAATATATTTACAGAATGAATCCATTATTTATCAATTCTAGATATTAAAATTATAATATATATTATGTAATTCATTTTAATTTAAGTTACAAAACTACTGTCTTAAATTCTCCATTTTCAAATGTTAAGATCTTTTATTCATGATTTTATTCATGATCTGTATAAATGGTGACTTTTAAAATTTAGCCCAACCGTAAAGTGACATTAGTTTTCATGACTTCTCCATTAATTATTACTGAATTTCCAACACCCTTTTTCCCCCCGCCAGAGTCACTTTGGAGAAGATCAATTTTTCAGATCTGAAAATCAGAATTTAAAATTCCCTGACATTTCCATATGCTTCATGATTGTGAAAACCCAGTAATTTCAGTAATGCATAAATACGGACTGATTCCGAACAGGTTTTCATGTCCCACAATAAACTGGAATAAGTATTTTATCATCCGACTTAACTAAAAATGTCACTCTTCACCCTTCTGAAAAAGGTTTTTCTTGGCAGCCTGTAGAATAATCTTTCTCCAGCAGCATTGCATGTGAATCGAGCCACTCTGAACACGTGTAAATGAACCAGTGGTGGACAGTAACGAAGTAGCTTTACTTCGTTACTGTACTTCAGTACATTTTTCAAGTATCTGTACTTTACTGGAGTAGTTTTATTTTGAGTAACTTTTACTTCACTACATTCCAAAGCATAAGATCGTACTTTTTACTTCACTACATTTCATAAAACTTATCGTTACTCCTTATAATATATCACGTGCTCCGAGACGCAGAGGTGTCTGATTCTTTTCAATGAACCCATTAAATCGGTTCGCAAATCGCACAAAACGATTCATTCACGAACAGTGTTGGGAGTAACGCATTACAAAAGTAATAATATTACAGTAGTATATTACTTTTTGCTGTAACGCAGTAATATAACGCATTACTAATCAAATTTGGGTAATATTATTACTCGTTACAATCTCAGTAACGCAAGTTACAACAACATATTTTAACTCAAAATTAAGTGGTGAATTTACCAACACCGCAAAACAGCACCAGAGAAAAAAATCCCGCGGGTAAAATAGTTTGTCTATTTCCTGATGCTGGAATTAAATGGTTGAGATGACTGCAGAGACGGATTCTACATTTGTGAGATGGACACACTCCTGTTATTTTCAGTTCATCGGAGAAAAGCATAAGAATGCATAGTCAGGTGCAATATGTGCAACACCAAACTCTCAACATGGAGAAATAGCACGAGTAAAACCTGGAAACACCTAGACTGGTGCCACTAACACTAAGCTATCGGAGAGAGAGCTGCGGGGTCGGAGAAGAGAAAAAGACGGCGGACGAGCGCAGACAAGCAACAAAAATTAAGTTTAACTAAAAATAAAATCTGTTTTTATTAAATCATAGTGTATATATAAAATGAATGAATATGCGAAATATTTGACTTAAATAGCCTAATTAACAGATTAACAAAACGAAAGGAAAAGACTGAGAGATAGGCTATGTTGCTGAGTTTGGTTCATATGCTATTTGTGTGGCGCGGCGCTCTACGAAAGTCCAGGGAAAGGAAACCGAGATGACAGAAATAAAGTAAACACATTGCAGTTTCAAATGATCTGTATGACCAAAAATAACAGAGTATTTTTTTGTTGTTTGTTTCCGCTGTTCGATCGCGCCGGCGCCTCACGCAAGCTAGATAGATTACATCTGAGGGAAAAAGAAAGGATGTGATGTTCAGAACATGGTAACTACAGTAATTATCAAAGTGGGAAGTGATGCCCTCTGGGGGCATTTGGCCAGGGGTGTTTTTACAAGGTAAGGTTTGAGTAGAAAAAAATCATGAAAATCTAATTATATTTTCTTTATTATATTCATTATTTCCTTATTGGTTATTTTGGGAAAATCCCACGTATTTTGAACAGTAGGATTATAAAAAAATATATGCTAATATAAAATTAAATGATAAAAGTAGCCTATATAAAACTGCAAAATAAACATTCATCTATCGGTACTTTTTACTTAAGTACTTTTGTACTTTCACTCGAGTAAAATTGAAAACTGAGTACTTTTACTGGAGTAATATTTTATTATACGGATCTGTACTTTTACTCAAGTACTTGATTTGTGTACTTCGTCCACCACTGAAATGAACACAGTGAACATGAACACATCTTCCCTCGATGTACTTATTTAATTAAATTGATTTGATGATAGAAACCCTGGATCGGTGGATTGAATCACCTTGCAGCAGCGGCTCCAGAACTCCATTCATGACTCCCTCCGGCAGAAACCTCCACTGTAAGACAGAGTGATCGGCTCCACCCGTGCTCAGAACCCACTGCAGGTCATGTGACCAGCGCACATTGGTCACATGGGCAGAGTGGCCGATGTATTTCTTGAATTTGGCAGCTGAAAGAATCACATTTGTTAGCGCACACTGGTTTGTTCAGCACTGATCACACAGAAACAGATGACACAAAACCAAGCTGACCTTTTTTAAGACAAGGGAATCGGAAGAGTTTGACGAGGCCGAAGTCGTCGCCCGTCACCAGCACTGCACTGCTGTAGTTTGCGTCCACAGAATTGATGTCATTGACGTTGGAATATTTAGGCCAGATTCCGTTGACCTCCGGTCCGAGAACGCAGGTCCACGTCATCCAGTGGATTCCTTTGGCTTCCTCCTTCGGCATGAATTTACCGGCTAATAACACACAACAACAGTTAGGTAAATTATTAGCATGACATGATTCATAAAATAAGGCTGACCCTAAAGTAAAGTATGTCATTTATTTGCTGATTACTGGACAAGGATTTTCAAAAAGGAGAGATCTTTGGTGTGGATTTTCTTTTTGTATGTCATATACAGCAGGGGTCTCCAACCTTTTTTACACCACGGACCGATTACGTTTGGAAAATATTCCCGCGGACCGGCTGGGTGGGGGGAAGGGGTTTGGGGACAGGTATATAGCCTTAGCCTAATATATATATATATATATATATATATACACTGCAGGTCATGTGACCAGCGCACATTGGTCACATGGGCAGAGTGGCCGATGTATTTCTTGAATTTGGCAGCTGAAAGAATCACATTTGTTAGCGCACACTGGTTTGTTCAGCACTGATCACACAGAAACAGATGACACAAAACCAAGCTGACCTTTTTTAAGACAAGGGAATCGGAAGAGTTTGACGAGGCCGAAGTCGTCGCCCGTCACCAGCACTGCACTGCTGTAGTTTGCATCCACAGAATTGATGTCATTGACGTTGGAATATTTAGGCCAGATTCCGTTGACCTCCGGTCCGAGAACGCAGGTCCACGTCATCCAGTGGATTCCTTTGGCTTCCTCCTTCGGCATGAATTTACCGGCTAATAACACACAACAACAGTTAGGTAAATTATTAGCATGACATGATTCATAAAATAAGGCTGACCCTAAAGTAAAGTATGTCATTTATTTGCTGATTACTGGACAAGGATTTTCAAAAAGGAGAGATCTTTGGTGTGGATTTTCTTTTTGTATGTCATATACAGCAGGGGTCTCCAACCTTTTTTACACCACGGACCGATTACGTTTACAGTGGTTAACAGTGGGGGGTTTACAGTGGTGTGAAAAAGTGTTGGCCCCCTTCCTGATTTCTTATCTTTTGAAATTTTAATTAATAGTTTTATTAATTTTCATGACATTCCCCAAATTAATACTTAATGCATAAATATTTATTCTGAAATTTAGAAAAATGTATACTGACTTTTGAAATTCAAAAGAATCGTAAAGTGTCATTAATTTTCAGGACATTCTCATGAATTATTAATGAATTCATAGACCTTTTTTCCACAGGCACTCACTTTTAAGAAAGGTTTTTGATTACATTTCCAGGTCTGGAAATCACAATTTTAAAATTACCTGACATTTCCATCTTTTTCATGACTGTGAAAACCCTAGTAATTAAAAAAATGCACACATATTTGCATAAATATGTAAAACTTAAACAAAAATTACAATAACTTTTGAAATTTAATTGAATTATTAATGATTTTCCAAGATGTTTTTCACAAGCACCCACTTTTGAGAAGGCTTTTGATGGAAATCACAATTTAAAAATAATTTTTCATGACTGTGAAAACCCTAGTAATTAAAAATTGCATAAATACTGATTGTTTCCAAACAGGTTTTTGTGTCCCATAATTAACTGGAATTGAATATTTCATCCAACTTCACTAAAAAAGTTTTTTTATGGCTTTTCCAGGTCTGAAACTGTTTTTCATGACTGTGAAAACCCTAGTAATTAAAAAAAAAAAAAAAAGCATATTTGAATAAATATTTAAAAACTTTAAGAATGTATACTGACTCGTGAAATTTAAATAAAATGTAAAATGTTAATAATTTTAATTACAAGTCTTCATGAAAAAAATGCATAAATATTGACTGTTGCCAAACAGGTTTTCGTGTCCCATAATTAACTGGAATTTAGCATTTTATCATCCAACTTCATTAATAATTGCACAATTTTATGAAAGAAAATACAGCTTGAAATTTAAAAGAATCAGAAAGTATCCTCAATTTTCACAACTTTCTCATGAATTATAAATGAATAATTATTCTTACTTGGCATCCTGTAGAAGAATCGCTCTCCAGCTCCATCGTTGGTCTGCAGGAAGCGGCTGTCCACGGACCAGTCCAGGTGTGTTATGAAGCAGGTGGACTTGTTGCACTCTCCCACTTTTTTATAGCGTTGGGCCACAGCGTAGGTGTCCACAAACCCGTCGTTGGAGCCCACGGCCAAGTAAGAGCCATCGGGTGAGAACTTGAGCTCGTGAATGACCTCCTTCCTGTCCTTGATGTGGACCACCTCCGTCATGTCCCTTAGAAAACCAGACAAACTCTCAGTTTGTGAATAATGAAGCTGAAATGATGAAGTGTAGGGCATCCAAATTCCATTACCTGACACGAAGAACAGTGAAGGAGCCGTCCTTCATGCCGAGAGCCAGCTGGGAACCGTCGTTGTTGAAGGAAACGCTGCGTACGGCCTCTTCCATGTTACAGCGAGCGATCAGCGTGTGTTCGGACAAACTCCACAGTCTGAACATGCATGTTTAATGAAACGGAAAATGTGTCCATATTGTACATTTATGCTAGGGCCGGGCGATATGGGCTAAAAATATTACAACAATATTTTTTCCCATATTATATGTGACCCTGGACCACAAAACCAGTCTTAAGAGTAAATTTTTTCCAAATTGAGATTTATATATCATCTGAAAGCTGAATAAATAAGCTTTCCATTGATGTATGGTTTGTTAGTATAGGACAATATTTGGCCGAGATACAACTATTTGAAAATCTGGAATCTGAGGGTGCAAAAAAATCTAAATATTGAGAAAATCGCCTTTAAAGTTGTCCAAATGAAGTTCTTAGCAATGCATATTACTAATCAAAAATTAAGTTTTAATATATTTACAGTAGGAAATTTACAAAATATCTTCATGGAACATGATCTTTACTGAATATCCTAATGATTTTTGGCATAAAAGAAAAATCTATAATTTTGACCCATACAATGTATTTTTGGCTATTGCTACAAATATACCCCAGCGACTTAAGACTGCTTTTGTGCTCCAGGGTCACATATGACATTGATATTTATCTTTTATATTAATTTACCATTATTGGGGAAGGAAATGCTTTCCAAATGTTTGTTAGATCTTGAGAATAAATGTAAACTTAACTTGTTCACAATTCTCCACAGAGTAGTTACCTTTTAATTTAGGGCCCCATAAATCCATTTGATTTTTTCCCCCAAAATTCTGAGTTTTCCATTTTATTTATTTTTTAAGATGCTATGTTTTTTTAATTTAATGCAAATTCATAATTAAAAATGGTGTCTAATGAAATGAATTAATAAAACTTTAACAATTTAATAAATCTTTTCAAATGCAAAAATGAAAATATAAATCATTTATAACAACACACTGAATAATTTTTTTTTTGTCAAATAAGATGCTGCGCAACAGAACTGTATACATTAAACATGGATGAAAATATATATTGGTTGTTCCTGAAAAATAAAATTATTATTATTATTATTATTTTAGTATACAGTAGTAATTTATTTCTGTCATAATTTCTCCAAGTTAAACCAAACTTTTATTTTAATGGTTTGTTGTGCAGATCTTTCAGTTTTAGTTTTAGTTTCAGTGTGTATTTGATGGCAGTTTTTCTCGAATGAACGGTAATCAAATTAAAATATAAGGTTACACTTTATTTTAAGATGTCCTTGTTACAGTGTAATTAAACATTTAAGTACTGTGTAATTTTAATTAACTACATGTACTTACTATATGGTTAGGGTTAGGATTAGGGTTTGGCTTAGGGTTACTTACATGTAATTATGCATAATTAATTGTTATTATATTAGTAAGTACATGTAACGTGTAACAAGGACACCTTAAAATAAAGTGTTACCAATTATAACAATAAATGTATTGTTATTGTTAAAACACTGCATTTTTATTTTTTGTCAAACAAGATGATGCACACCAGAACTGTATAAATTAAAACATGGATGAAAAAATATCTTGGTTGTATGATATTTTTCAAAAATGAAAAAAAAAAAAAGTATTACTTTAAGAATAACATTTTAGCACAGAATAGTACTATAGTTCTGCCAATTTATTTAAGTTAAACCAAACTTTTATTTTGGCGGTCTGTGGTGAAGATCTTTGAGTTTCAGTGAGTATTTGACAGTAGTTTTTCTAAAAATCAGTTATTTAAAATAAAGCATTGTATTTATATTTTTTCTCAAATAAGATGCTGCACAATAGAAATCATGTGTTCATGTCTCATATATTGAGACGCAGATGCTGAAAACACTGCGAGCATCATGTGTGTTTGAGTTTGAAATGTCTAGAGACATTAAATCGCAGTCGTTTATCGCCCAGCCCTAGTTTTTTTGAAAAACCAAAACCTCATCTCATTTCCACCCGTCTTGCTACATTTATAATGTCTACTGTGTGAACTGATGTGGCATGAACTGAAATCCAATAGAAGGGGAGGACTAACCGTACGGATCGATCGTCGCTGCCGGTGACGGCCAGCGGTTGTTTGGGATGCAGGTCGAGGGCCCAGAGCTCCCCCTCTGAATGTCCCTGCATGATCAGCATCGGTTTATCTCGGTCTCTCACCATCACCTCGAAGATCTCGCTGTCTTGAGTTCCTGCCAGGATCCTGTCAGCCCTCCAGCACACGCTGCGGATGGACAGACCTGGAGAGAAAGAGTGATTCAGATCGACAAGAAAGTAAGAGGATCCAAGCAGTAGGCCTGTCGCAATAATCAATATATTGACTTATCGCGCAATATATGTACATGACCTCAATCATTTTTGGTGACGCAATATATAAAAAAAATTACTGTCACTGTGTTTTGTACATCCCACTTGCGCCTGTGTCTTTTGCAGCTTCTCGTGCATAACGTGGT